CACTGCCACAGAGATACGATCCCGGGTAACAGACGACCCCCTTTGACCGAGCTTGAAATCGGTGCTGAGCATCTATGCGTAAACAACGATGCTCGGAACAGCAGAATCAGCGCGATGCGCCGATTTAACCTAACGCCAGCGGAAGACTGAAACCTGACGTGCGTGTGCGTGCGTCTGTGTGCTGTGCGAACGCAGATACACATGTCGATCTAATAATCAACGTGAAATGTCATGCGAGAGCGGAATGACATTTTATCTCAACTTATTGACGAAAGGGTTAAAAAAACGACTACGTACGCTACGAAGTTTTGGTTAATGAGACGTTTATCTACAATGTTCGATATCCAATATCGTTGTAGCTGTTTCTCAGAAACCGATAACACCGAAGTATGAAGTCAATGAAATACCAAACCTTCGTGCGGATGATAACAGTCGGGAATAAAAGCAGGATTCTATCTAACCGTGAAAAGCATATCTCTTTAATTGAATACCGGAGCGATTACACGACAGCTCGTTAAACGTAACAGTTTCTGTAATGCTTGACGGATTAATTTGATTGCACAATTTAATTATATTGCTAATTATATGGCATGCTATTTTATTTTTTAATTTATTGCTCGCATTATATTAATGTATGTTTTGTATATTAATGTATGTTTTGTAATGTATATTATTGCATCGAATTTTGCTATATCAAATGTCGAAAGAAATTACATCAGCAACTGCTACAATTACTATTGTTACACGTGTTGTTTCCTAGTTTCTTGTTTCGCTGTTTATGGCGAATTTCCACTGCGCAGAAGAAAGAATGTTCGATCGCGTTTTACTTTCTGCTCTTTGCAAGTCAGCAAAAAAAAACAAATCGAAAAATCGTGTTGTTACACTGTTAATATCATTACGATCAATCGTGCGTATGTTAATGTCAATGCTCGCCGCTTAATTGTGACACACTCGGAGCTAATCAGTGTTAAATGCGTCGAACGCGATAATGCCACGCGTGGGCGGTTACGTGAGTCGTAAAAATATATATATATATGAAAAACTAGATTGCGTGCGTGTCGTTCGATGTTTTCTCGTGTAAATCTATGCCCCCGTTGGCATATCAACGAGACGTAAAGTTAATTGAGATAACTAAAGTGCTATTAGCATAATACCATGATATTATTCAACGATAAAATCAGTAGTCGGCGTTTTCCGATGATTTCGGTACGGCTGAATGGTTAATACAATAATTAATATGTGGTACTATACAAATGATAAAGTATATATCGAGATATCTGCGGATAAATACGCCTATGTGAACTCTGGACGGTATTTTATTATTTCACTTGATTTACTATTTTCTTTTTAAATAAATGATTCATTTGCTGAAGACTCGATGTTAAAATTAACAAATAATAAGGAAAAGTGGGCTTTGAGAGCCAAACGCGGCGAGTTGTGCGTGAATTAACGCTGTAACATTTAATTACCTATTTAACGCGAATTACAAATCGTACACTCATAATTCATATTAAACGTTAACTCGCACGACTAACTGCATTTGACTCTCAAAGTACACTTTTTCTAGGGTTTCTCGTTTATTTTCTCGAGCTTAATTCATTTTTTGTTGCTTCGTTAATTTCCGTTATTGATCCTTTCTATGATCAAAAACCGTGAGTAATTATTAAGGTAGTTGTTTCGCGATAGATCCTTTCTATGATCAAAAACCGTGAATAATTATTAAGGTAGTTGTTTCGCGATAGTAATGCTCAAAAGTTTCTTCCAGACAGGAACCAATTGTTACAATGATATATCTTGATGCAACATTGTTCTCAAGAATACACGTACGATTAATACATAATATAAAATAGACTCGAAAGATTATAGTTTGAGGTTGCCACATCCCTTACACTACACTCATGTCCGCTATAATTCTTCCCATTTTTCAGTTTTAACTGTTTATATTGTTGAAACGGAACGGTCAATAATTCTGATTTGTTTTCCAGTTATTCGTTCTATTTTACTCTATAACATATTTGTTTCTCATACGAATCTAATAAAACGTGCCATCATTCGCGTTTGCAAACACAAATATTAATATTTTAACGCATAATAAAATGCGTAAATAATATTTCACGAGTAATAACATTACAACGAATTATATTGTTACGTGTAATAATATTTTTTACGTGTTTTACACGTAATATTTCGTGTAACATAGCAAACTTTAACATTTCCTTTAAACTTCGAAACGGTCAATTTTAATTCAACTAGTCTTATTTTGCACGTATTAGTGTAAAGAATAAATTGTAAAAATTTGAAACAATTCTCACATAAATTATTTTACAAAATAACTACCTTAAAAGTCTGTTATGTGGCAGTGGCCTGTGCTGATAGAAATATTACCAACTGCTTACGGACAATAGCTCTGTAAATACCATATTTATTGATCTCGCGATCTTATCGTCGAGAAACATCGCAGCTTTAATCCGATATCATAATCGGCCGCCACGAAAACGTGTAGAAAACGAGCGTTTTAATTAGATCGCGTCCGCCCTCCCCGCGATATTACTATAATCGAGATAGTGCCTATCGCCTGTTGCTACTTAAGTTGCTACGCGCTCATTTACATATCTCATCTCCTCGGCCGACTACTTTT